GGTGTGTGCTCGAGCCACATAAACCCAGGGCCTGAACTGGTAAGGCCAATCTGCCCCCAAGTTGCCCGTGAGAGAGGCGCTCCTGGCAGCAGGGCTCCTGGTACCACCTGAGCTGGGGTAAGCTGCACACAGGCCTTGGAAGGGGAAGGCCTAGGAGGAGAGGTGCCAGCGGGGCTGCTCTCGAGAGAAGCTGGCCAGGCCTTGGGGCAGATACGCCTGGGAGAAGAGGAGTCAGAGGCCCAGTCCCCCAGAGAGCTGCTTAGAAATGAACTGGTGGTTGAGGAAGGGACTGAAGGGGAGGTGTGGACGTCCCAGTGGGCCCAGCAAGAGGGTGGAGGGCCGGGGGCGCAGAGGCAGATAGCCAGAGCCCAATGACAGGTAGGGCACGGGGTCAGGGCAAGCCTTGAAAGGGATAGGCCTGAGGCCCACGAGCCCTAAAAGGACTAGTCTCTTACTGGATCTGGTGGGACACCTGAATGAGGAGAGAGAAAAAAGGATCTGCGTGACACGTGTAAGGTGGACATGTTGAAAGAGCAGAAAGATTTGGAATGGCAGATGGCCCCCCCGATCCTTCTACTTCAGCACTGACAAAAGACTTGGGGGCCAAATTGGGAAATGGAGTGGCCAAGGCCCGCTGCGGAGAGGAGGAACCTCAGAGGCATGTCTTCCAGGAACGTCATGTTATAAAGGGATGGACGAGAGTGCAACGCCTTCTGGAGACACTAGTGAGATTATGGGCTGTGACAAGGGAGGGTGCCGTGGGGTGAGTTCCAGCAAACTGGAAAAGCGTGTGCAAGAAGAGGATGGAATCTGATCATTTGTTTTACAGATGCGATTTGGAAATGGAGAGATTTGATTGTGCATAGGCATGCTGAACCAGCAGTTAAAGACATTATGGTGGGGCTGAATAAATCAAAGCGGCACTGTGGAAGGGAACAAGAGGAATGGGGAAAGGGAAAAGCTAGAAACGGGCAGCAGAGGGCCAAGGGTGCGATTCATTTGTGCAGTTCTGTTGTTGCCGTGAGTCTTGTGCAAAATGCGGCGTGTACTGGGTTCGGGGCCTTCTTTTTCTTGTGCGCAGCGTTAGCTGGTACCGTTGGATGAGTGCTTGTTGGGATGTTTTGGGGTTTTGTTATTTTTTGCACTCCTCCTGTGTAAAGAATAAAGTAAGTTAAAATAGGATTTAGACGGGGAAATTGATATTTGTTTCTTGGTTTTGTCTGTGGGAGATAGATGTTTTAATGTTAACTATAATGGGTTGCTGGATATAATAGAAAGTGTTTGTTAAAAGAAGGGAAATGTAATTTTGATACTATTACAAACAAGCAAACTGCAAACGTAACAGTAACTAATGTTTCCCCGGCTCTGTATCCACAGTCCAGATCCGGCCTCCCATTGCTCTCTCTTCTCAAACACTGGGTGCTTACAGAAGTTACATTTTTTGGTACAATTGGGTCCCCAAAAGAGCTGTACAGCCCTAACCTAGCAAACATTTCTGGCTGCAGATCCCTTTTAAAATGACTAATTGTGCAAACAACAAAATTAACCTGTGTTCCATCAGCTAGTGGATGAAGAACCACTAAGGCAGAGTGAAACTTGTGTACAGGTTCCCTGCAGGGAGGTAAGTTTTTGGCAGTTCTGCCCCCATCCGCCGACTCCCCGACCCGGCTGTCAGTGGCAGCCTCTTCTCCCAGTCCTGCCTTCTCCTTGGGGAGATGCCCTGGGAGAGGGGATGGCCCTGCACACACCCCTCAGTGTTGCACCGGGGGTGGGGAAGAGTCACTAATCCCTGCATGGGCTGGAAGAGCTGTCCCTCGCCCTAGGCTCCCCTTGGAGGGGGACGGGGGCTCTCTGCACACCCTGCTGCATCTGCAAATCACTGTCGGGGCTGGAGGGGAGCCCTACCTGGCTCCCTCGCTGGTGCCAGCGCAGGAGCAGTCAGTCCACCTCCTAAGCCCTCCCCTTGTGGTAAAAATATGTTATAATTCGGCCACCATGCCTTTGCAATCGCTTGTTTGTTTAACATGTTTTGCAATAGCTTCTGCATATAAATTAAGGCTTGCTTTGCACAGATTTTGCAACCATACTTAAGATAAAAGGTTATTAAGGGGCATTAGTTTTACCGCAGTTCTGCTTTTGGACTGCACATGCGACAGGACCTTTTGCTGCAGTTTTGTTTTTTGACTGCAATGTGTTAAACTTGATGGGGAACAACAACCAATAACAAGTTGAGCTCGACCTGCAAGGCAGGGCGTAACAATAAGGAAATTGTAAGGCTGGCAATAATAGCGCGACACGCTGAAACCCTCTGTTTGTTAGCTATAAAAATGGAACTTCGGGCACGGTCCGGGGTCGACTTTGCTTTGAGCAACTGAGCTCCTCTGTCGAACTTGTTTGCAAACAATAAACTTGAGTTGGACCCAGCCTGAGTGTGTGACTCTCTCCTTCAGGTAAATTGAACAAGCCTCCAGGGGCACCAAACTAGCAATTTGTGCATTAATTTGGTGAGCCAGCTAGGAGCAGCCCTTGGACCACCCCTGGGTGGACAACAAGCCCGGCAAAGGTGTCCGTGGAGTGGCCACCAAACCACTTTTGGAGTCTGCCACGGTCACCGGGAATGTGAGTCGGGACACCCGGGAGGTTAAAGGTTCTCCATTGAATGAGTCACCTAGGCTGAGTGGGTCCAAAGGGACGGCGCCAGGGGTTTGGCAGAGTAAGTATTCGCTTTCCTTGTGACACTTAAATGGTCCTTTGGGGAGCTTGGGAGTGTTGAAGTTTCAGGTATTGGCGTTGGTGTTCAGCATATAGGTCTGAACATTAGGGCCGGGGACTTCCCTTAGAAACATGAGCCGCTGACCAGGTCTGGGACTAAGGCTGAGTCTAGCCGCCCCGATTCTGCCTAACAAGGTACCGTCGAATGCAAGGGGGCTCAGCTGGAACCTCGTGACCCAGCGGATAGGGATCTGAGGGAGTTTGTATATTGGTTGACACAATGGGTTCGGGTAGCTCCTGGGAAGAAGACTCTGCAACCCCATTAGGATGCATGCTAAGAAACTTTAGTAAATTCAAAGGAGATTATGGGGTAGAAATGTTAAAGGACAGATTGATTACCTTCTGTCAGTTGGAGTGGCCATCATTTGGAGTGGGGTGGTCGGATGTCGGTTCTTTTAATGTAAAGGTGGCTAATGCAGTGTTAAATGTGGTGACAAGGGACGGTCATTGGGATCAATACCCGTATATAGACTGCTGGGTAAGTGCTGTAATGAACCCCACTCCCCCATGGGTCCAAAAGTATAAAGAAAAAATGTGTAAGATGTTATTGGTGAAAGACGTTGGGAGAGCCCCGAGTACTTCCTGATTCTGGTAGTGAGGGAGATCTGACTCAGAAACTGAGGCGCAGGGACAGAGCACAGTCACCGGCTAGTACGAGCACTAGGAACCAAGAATCATTGCCGTCATCCCAAGCTGACCCCAGCACGTCGGGAGGAGAAAGCTCAGAGGGTTCCCCAGCGTCACCCTGAGTTGGCCCCAGCGCTTCGGGAGGGGAGGGGGAAGAAGGCTCAAAGAGTCTCCTAGCATCAGCCCCCACTTCTTATGGGCTTGAAGAGAAAGACAACTCACAGGATCCCAACCCGGACCCTGACTACCCCTACCCACCTGTCCCATGGCCCCCGACTTGTGGTGCACCATGGGATGGATGGGCGCCGGGTAGACCCTCTTGTAAAACCCATAATCCAGCCCCCCTATACCAGTTTCCAATGAGGCAAGTAGCGGCACCGGAGGGGGAAACCACCTTTGTTTTTGTGCCCTTCCATACGTCAGATTTGTTCAATTGGAAAAATCAAAATCCTTCTTTTAGAGAGGACCCTGAGAAAATGCAAAACTTGTTCCGGTCAGTAGAACAAACTCATCGTCCCACTTGGGCTGATGTTCAGATGATGTTACATACACTTCTGACCTCCGAGGAGAGGCGACTGGTACAGGGAATGGTAGATCGGATAGCCGAGGAGCGCATAGGGCAGGGAAGAGACATACGGGGCATATGTCCTATTGAGAGTCCCGACTGGGACAACAATTTGGCGGATGGAAGGGAGCGAAACAGTATTTATTTGGGAATTATAGTGGAAGCTCTAGGCAAGGCAGTGCCACGAGTGACTAACCTCTCTAAACTATACGAAGTCCGTCAGGGGAAGGATGAATATCCCTCGGCTTTCCTGGAGCGTTTGTTCGATACCTTTAAGAAATTCAGTAGCTTGAACCCTGAGGCCACAGAGAATCAGCGCATGGTAAATCTGATGTTTATTGGGCAGGCGGCCCCAGACATAAGGAAGAAGTTGCAAAAGACTGAAGGGGGACCAGGAAAACCCCTTTCGGAACTCGTAGAAATTGTGTATAAAGTTTATGGAAATCGCGATCAGGTAGCAGAGAGGAAGGAGGAAAAGCGTGGACAAAAACAGATGGCAATGCTGGCAGCTGCCTTGGGCAGGAGTACAAATATCGGTGGGGGATGGAAGGAGAAACCTGAGGGGGGGCAGAAGAAAGGAAAAGGCCGACCCAAGCCTGATGAATGTGCCTATTGCCGGGAGAAGGGACATTGAAAAAGGGACTGTCCTAAGCTGAAGGACAAAAGGAGGGAAACCCCACCGGGGGACCGCCAGATGCGAGCGGAATCCTCAGGGGAAGATTCTAGCTGAAGGGGACCGGGATCTAAGGCCACCGCCCTGCGGGCAAACGCCCAAAAGGATCCCATGGTACAAATAAGGGTTGGTGGCAGAGACTATGAAGCTCTGGTGGATACCGGAGCCACCTTTTCTATGATCCCTGTAAAAACCCCTCTAGCTAAAGAAAGCAGAAAGCATGTGACTATAGAAGGGATAGAGGGAGGACGAACTAGATTGCCTGTGTGTAAGCCCCTCCTCACAAAGATTGGGAATAATATGTTGGAACATGCCTTCGTAGTATCCCCTGCTTGCCCAGTAGCCCTCTTGGGGCGAGATTTGTTAACAAAACTGCAAGCCGAGATCTTCTTCTGTGAGGGTCGAATTATAGTGCGGCTGCCAGTAAAACAGGGCTCAAATTACCAAATGGCCCTTCGGCCAGACCA